AGCCGAGTTCCGGCAGGTGCCGCCGTTTCTGCAGCGAGGGGCGCGCTGGGGCGCACACTCGTCCACGTCTTCAGAGCAATCCCGGCCTGCGGAGGGCGGAGACCAGGCTGGAGTGGGGCCTGGGGAGGCGGGGCTGACCATCTGCACCGTTGGCGCCGTGAACTTGGCTTCAGGAACTCACCTGTCCAGGCCTCGGGGCAGAGGCAGGTGTAGGTGCCCAGCCCATCCTGGCAGGTGCCGCCATTCTGACACGGGTGCCCAGCACAGTCATCGGGGTTCACCTCGCAGCGCGGGCCTGTGAGACCTGACAGGGCCCTGGGTCAGTGGAGGGGGGACCACCTCCTGCCCAGGGGGGCGCAGGCCGGCCCTGTGAGCACACACCTGGGGGGCAGAGGCAGAGGTGGGAGGGGGAGTCCTCCCCTGGAACCAGCTGGCAGGTGCCCCCGTTGGGACAGCCCGCTGAGGGGCAGGGTCCTGCCCAGAGCGCGCAGCGTGGACCTGTCCGCCCAGTGGGGCAGACACACTGGAAGGACCCCAGGGTGTTACGGCAGGCAATGCCCTCGGGGCAGGGTCCCGGGTCTCCGAAGCACTCGTTGATGTCGCGCTCACAGGCGTGGCCCTCAAAGCCCGGCGGGCAGCGGCACTGGATCTGGGGGTAGGTGGTCAGGCACACCCCTCCGTTCATGCAGGGGTTGGCTGAGCAGAAGTCCCGAAGCTGGCACTGCTCGCCTGCGGCCGAGGGCAGAGGGCAGAGGGCAGAGGGCAAGGCCGTCAGCTCCCAGGGCCTGGGAATGGCTCCCCGCTTCTCATGTCCCCATTTCTTCCCCTGGCCCCCCCCCCCCATTTGCCCTGACCCATCGCCCTGCCTCAGGTTCTTGGAGGGTTATATCTGGAGTGACTGTATTTCTAAGCTGAAAGTAGGACACGTGGTTGTTGGTGGTGTGCTGCAGATGGGCCCTGCCTGGGGAGATGGGACACGGCCCCTCGGGGTGACCTGGTGGGAGGTGCAACGCGGCCCTGCCTGCCCCCAGGAGACTTAGCGCCTCTGGTCCCTCTCACCCGGCTGCCTGGCCTTTGCGTGGGTGTAATCTTTGCAGCGATAAGAGACTCCCTTCCAGCCACCACCCACTGGCAAAGGCGGCAGTGGTGGCAGCCACTCGTGTCCGAGTGCTGCGTGCCAGGGCGGGCTAAGTGAGCGTCTCCTGAGCAGCGCGGGCCTCTCCGCGCCAAGCGTCCGCTGCGGGCACAGTCTTGTCAGAGACAGAGCCGGACCTGGAGCTGGGGAAGGGGCTGCCCCAGGACCCCGACTCCACACACAGGCCTGGCATGTTGCCAGTGACCATCCTGGTCACGCGTGCTGGTCCCTGACACCAGTCTCAGGCCCAGTTTCCTCAGAATTACCTGGGCGGCTCCAACATCTCATGCCCTGGGCCCCCCAGACCCACTAATCTCCCTGGGATGGGCACTGGTCTTTTTAAGTCGCTGCAGGTAATTGCTGTGCCAGGCTGGGGCCGAGAAGCCGCAGCACTCGCACCGCCCGGGCCTCCAGGGACTCTCTCAGCCTCCCGGCCTGGCCCAGCCCCTCCATCCCCACCTGGTCCTGCGGGTCCTTCCTCTCCGCGGCCACGAGCCCTGTCCTCCCAGCTGACCATTTCTGCAGGGTGGCACCCCCTTCCCACCCCTGTCCTGCTGTCCTGCCCCAGGGTTGCGCCCTCCTCCTGGGGGGACACCCACTCCTCTCCCTGGCCAGACCCTTTCCACCCTCTCACCCAGCACACCTCCCTCCACTGGAGTCTGCCTAGTGACCCCCTGGCACCCCCCAGGCAGAGGCCACTCAGGTGCTCAGACACAGAGCTCCCTGCTGGGCCGACGGACCCTCTGGCTATGGGAGGGGTGCAGGGCTGGGAGAGGACTGGGCTGGTACGTGGCGGAGACTGGCAGTAGCTGCCTACCGACTGCTTTGGAAATGTCAGATTGGGGCAATCAGCACAGCTGTGTGTCCCCAAGGACCGGCTTGTTGATTCTCCTGGCCGCGGTCTCCTCCCTGTGCTCGCCTGCCCGCTCCCACCGCTGCTCACCTGTCCACCCAGGCAAGCAGGAGCACCGGGGGCGGCCCGAGGCCTGGATGTGGCAGCGGCCCATCTTGGAACAGAAGGAAGAGCAGGGGTCCTGGAGCTGGGCCTGGCACCTCTCGCCAGTGAAGCCCGAGGGGCAGGTGCAGAGGAAGCTGGGGGTTAAGGATGAGGCGGCGCTTGGGGAGCCCGGGGCGACAGGAAGCAGGGCCTGGCAGCTGCCCCCATTCTGGCAGAGGGCGTTCCGGCAGGGATCCGCAAACTGGCACATCTCACCCAGGAAGCCAGGAGCACACCTGGGCGGGGGGGGCTCACATCACTGGCTGAGGTTGGCCTTCTGTCCCCCCTCCTCCTCCCTTACTCTCCCTCCCCCTTTCCAGTCTCCCACCCCCACAGGCACCTCACCGACAGGTGCCTTGGCCCCGAGGCAGGCTCAGGCAGGTGCCTCCGTTGGCACAGGGTTCTGAGAGGTTCCCGCAGGGCAGCCCTAGGGATGGAGACGGATGAGCCGGGAGCTCCGGGGACCTGTTAGCCTCCTACCCCTGTTCCTCGTCGCCATGTGGTGCCCGCCCCACCCCCCAGATCCCAGGCCTCTCACTTACTAATCCCCACCCCCCTTCCTGTTTTTTCTCTGGCCTCCCAAGTGCAGCCTCCGTCCCTGGTCCCTCGGAAGCAAGACAACAGGGATCAGGAGGGGGGTTGAGGGGACTCCTGGGAGGTGAATGGCTGAGACAGAGAAGGGATTTCCTCCCGGAAGGGCCCAGCATTGAGCCATGGAGGGGGGGTGTTGCAGGGGGAGGTGAGGGGGGGCTGAACCGGGAAAGGGACTTGGTGGACCCTCAACCTTTCCATGTCTCCATCTTGGTCACATCTCTTTCCCTACAAGGTGGTCAGTCTGTTCCTCTCCCCCCGCCCCCCAAATGAGCCCGCTGTCCCCAAGCTCCGGGCTCACTGGGCTCTCCCTGGGGGTGGGCACCCTGCCACCCAACCCAGCAGACCCCTGGCACCAGGCCCACGGCCTTGGTCTGCGCAGATCCGGCAGCAGAGCCGCTCCCTCCACCCAGTGTCGCCTCAAAGCTCCAGGCTCAGCCCTTCGCCCCAACCCGCCAAAGGCCTCCTCAGGACAGTGGGCCCCCCTCTTCCACCGGTACCTCACCCCTGGTCCTCACCTCCGGTCTTCACAGCCCAGGAGCCCAGCAGCCAGAGCAGCAGCAGCGAAGGGGGCTGCATTCCAGAGCCCAGGCAGCCCTCAGCCCTCCCTGCCGGGAGCCACCTCCTGCGCCACAGCCCCTTCCTCCGCCGTCTTGGCCGCTGCAGGCCTCGCAGCTGAGTTGCTTCCTGAGTCGCACAATGTCCTGGACACCCAAGTGATGGGGGGAGGGAGGAGGGACATTGAGGGGATGAGGGAGGGGCCTTCCATCCCTGGCAACCCCTGCCCCCCCCAGGACAGAGTGGCTGGAGGGCAGGTGAGGGAGGGGACAACAGGGGACAGTCCCAGCCCTTCTGCTGAGGTGGCCTCTGCCTTCCCGAGGTGGGGACTGCAGGGTGGTGCCCGTGCGGCAGGCAGGGCGGAGAGGCAGGGCTGAGGTGGCCTCTGCCTTCCCGAGGTGGGGACTGCAAGGTGGCGCCCGTGAGGCATGCAGGGTGGAGAGGCAGGGTGTGTGTGATGGGGATCTCCTGCGCCTCTCCCGGGGGAGGTGCTTGTTTCTGGGGTCACTCCAGATGCTTCTCAGAGAACCTGCAACTTGGCATAATTTGAAATGACCACCCTGGGCAGAGGACCCAGGGGGCTTCCAGGCCTCACTCCGGCCCTTGCTAGGGCTTCTCCCCTTTGGGGGGAGGAGGGAGATGTCGGCTGCTTTGGGGAAAGTATAAAACCGCCCTCAGTTTTGCCTTCTGGATTAGTCAGAGCAAACACTGCATTTGGTCTTTCCCCTCCCCCATGTCTCCCTTCCTCTACTGCAGAGTCCCTGGGAGGCAAGGCTAGTCATTGACTATTTATTTTTAAAATATGTTGTATTGATTTTTTTAGAGAGAGGAAGGGAGATGGGGGGCGGGGGGAGAGAGAGAGGGAGGGAAACAACGATGTGAGAGAGAACATCTGTTCCTTGCCTCCTGCATGCCCCCTACCAGGGACCCTGCATGTGCCCTGACCAGGAATTGAGGAATCAGTGATGCATTAGAAACAACGATGTGAGAGAGAACATCTGTTCCTTGCCTTTTGCATGCCCCCTACCAGGGATCCTGCATGTGCCCTGACCAGGAATTGAGGAATCAAACAGTGACGTATTAGGTGCACGGGACAGCGCTCAACCAAGTGAGCCACACCAGTCAGGCACCAGTCATTGACTTTAAAATCAGACTAAATAACATCACAAAAGAGAATTTGCTGCCCTGACTCACCTTACCTCCTTGAGTAAGCCCTGGCCGTTGGGCTCAGCATGTCTGGCCTTCCTCTGCTGGCACAGGGCTGAGTCAGGTGACTGGCACAGGTGTGGCAGCAAGCACCCTCTGCAGCCTGGGGCACCCTGAGCAATTTCCTCTGCTGAGGAATGCACCACTTAAAAAAGCTTTTTATTTTAAATATATTTTTATTGATTTCAGAGAGGAAGGGAGAGGGAGTGAGAGATAGAAATATCAATGATGAGAATCATTGATGGACTGCCTCCTGCACGCCCCCCACTGGGGATCCAGCCCACAACCTGGGCATGTGCCCTTGACTGGAATCAAACCTGGGACCCTTCGGGCCACAGGCTGATGCTCTATCCACTGAACCAAACCAGCTAGGCAGCTTTTTATTTTGAAACTAGTGGCCCGGTCCACGGATTTGTGCACATTGAAAGGAAATTAATTAGAAGGTGGCTGATGGGGCGGGGCTGGGTGAGAGGGGCCGGATGTACCATGGAGCCAACCTCCCACAGTCCCTCCCCAGCTGGTCACACCTGGGGAGGGCTCGAAGGAGGTCTGTGGAGTGAGCGGGGTCCCTCTGGCAGGTGGGGTCCCTTGGCCTGACTGGCACATCCCCCAAGTGGTCCCAGAGTGCGAGAGGGCACTCTGTAAAGTTGCTGTCGCTTGGCAGCTCCTGTTTTAAGCATCTGCCCCCTGGTGGTCATTATGTGTCATAGCACTGGTTGGACAGTTGCTTAGGCTTTTATATATATAGACTAGTAGCCCGGTGCACGAAATTCGTGCACTGGGGTAGGGGGGGAAAGGGGCCCCTCAGTCTGGCCTTCACCCTCTCCAATCTGAGACCCCCTCAGGGAATGTCCAATTACCTGTTTGTGTCCACACTTTTAACAGATAACAGCTCCATTGTTGTTTCTTATGCTTAAAACCATTGGAATTAGTAGGTATTCAAAGTGTGTATACATTTTGGGGGGACACCCTGTATATCTCTAGTCAGCGGTGAAAGAAACCAACAGCAGATTTGGAACCCCCAGACAGGGAACCTTGCTCATTCCCCACATGTCTCCCCACTTCACTTTCCACCTTCGTGGGCAGCAGGAGAATCAATGTTTTCTCTCATTAATTCGGAAAAGCACTTCCTGTCACCCGTTGCCTGGCAGGAGTGCGCTAGGCCCCAAGCAAGCAAGGCTCAGTCAGGGCAGCCTTCACTCATGGGTGCTGGCACCCAAAGTGCACATTCCTCCTCTACAGTCGCCCCGACTATCCCACTGTTTCACTGAGAGGACGGAATTCCTCTCTGCCTCTGAGCTCTTTATCTTGAACGCTGACCGAAGGCACCTCAGAGAGGGCCGCCCGCGCCCACCAGGTGTGTCTGTCTGCACCTGCTCCTGCCTCAGCACCTGCATTAACTCCCCAGAGGTGATCTCGTAGCTGCACTGGCCTCCGTGGGAACAGGGCATCACCACTCCGCCCTCTCACTGTCATCTCACAGGCGCCCAC